ACGTTTCGACAAGGTTTTGTCATCATTTGCTGTCATGTTAAACTTATATTAAAGTTTTTCTTCATTACCCATTTAAGCCGTCTCCAGCCATGAAAAGAAATTTGTATATCATATTTGGTTATTATTTATAGATAAGTTTAAGAGATAAATGTGTACTTCTATATATGGGGCCAGGAGTAGCCGAAGTTAGTTTGCCCAGACATGTGTCTTTCGTTGTGCTTTAAGTGTAACAGTCAAATTTAAGTATTCAGTAACATAAGGCTTACCAGAGGGCGCTGTTAACTAGCTACCTTTAAGGATGGTCATGTACAGATGACCTTTGTGTAGGTTTACGTGAAATAGTAAATACAAATATTTATTACAATATTACTGTTTGAAATTTTTATTCCTTAAATTTTACGTATTTGCTAGAAGCATAAATTCAATTTTTATAAAGAAATAGAAATTACAACCTGAATAAAACCTTATTGGACACAAAGGTTAGATGGCCAATTATCTCTGCTTCTAATTTTAAAGTACTGACCAGACTTGGGACATATACCCAGCAACAAACGTCATCAAAAAAAAGGCTTTGTTCGACCCTTTGATGTGTAAAACGGTACTGACTGCTACTATATAATGTGCCCATAGAATGTTAAGCAGCATATCGTCTCGAACTTTAGACCTTTCCAAAAGTAACTAACACGATAACCACTAATCCACTTCCACCCACGTATTCGTTCAAACGATACAGATTAACTAATATCCTATTTCGGTGATAATCACAGTTTTGTTCAACTGGGATTAAGATAATCCATAATTGGTGAAGCATCCACAAAATACGTTAAGTTTAACTTTTTAACTCAGCAGGAGACAGGTGACACCTCAAAACAATTCTTCTTAATCAACTCTAGAAGATTTTTAAATAGCTCAAAATTCTCACTGATCAACTATCTTTCGATAATAAAATTGATCAAAACCTCGTTTTAAAATTTGTGATTGTACCATCACTCTTATAGTAGACCCCCCACACACAGTAGCACAGCGGTATGTCTGCGGACTTACAACGCTAGAATCCGGGTTTTGATACCCGTGGTGGGCAGAGCACAGATAGCTCATTGCATTGCTAGTTGTACTTAACTTCAAAAAACAAAGAAACTAATAGTAGAATCACGAACTTAAATTCACAAACTGAATAAGCCAAATACTAGGCCAGCCTTAAATAAAAACATATTAAAAGATCACATGTACCTAAAATGAATATCGATTATAAGGAAAGAAAGAAGAACAAACTTACTTTACTGAGTTGACTCTAACATGCCGAGGAGCAAGATCTGAAAACAACAAAAACAAAATGTAAAGATAACTGGGCGCGAGGATTTTATTATTAAAGTAACAACGTTTTTCAAATAAACTGTGAATTTATTTCATTTTAATTTTTGCATTAAACCATCTCCCAAAATCAAATTGCTTTTTCTGATTATCAAGAACAACAACAAAAAAAAAGCATCAGGTGTGCGTAATTACACCAAGACAAAAAATAGACCAGGGAGGAATACATCGTAATTATTTTAAAGAATGCTTACTTTTATGATTTAGTAAAGATGACGTTACGCTTTGTTAATAAGTAATAATAAAACTATATAGGCAATGTTTGTAGTGGAAGTACAGAGTGAGCTGCAGTTTCTTTTGTAATACAATGTAGTGAAGTTACACAGGAATATTTACAATGGCGGAGGGTTACTACCGTGTTCGCTAATACATTCAGGACGGTCTCAATACAGGTTTTACAATTTTTCGTTCAGTAGTGAGTATTACGCTAACGGCAACATTAATGGTTGAAGCTGAAGGAATTGTGAATTCCAGTGATACAATTAAATGGAAAAACCCTAATAAAAATATCACCTTGAGAGGATGTACTTAATGAGATAGACATATGTTTTCTTCTATAACATCAGTTCGTTTATTTTTAGGCTTAAGATTTTAATTAAATAAGATAGAAACTAGTTGTGTTTTTAGCTCCTTCTGACGACCATATAAAGAATTAATTTCATTAATACAAGATTCTAAAGTGACACTTTTATTTCGGTAAACTTATACCAATAACAGTTTGAAATCTACTGGTCAAAGTTAATGATGAAACAGAGGTCACTGTACAAAACATAATCACTTAGACAAAGGAATATATAACTTACGATGATAAGGAACAAATAAACAAAATTTAACTGTAATAATAGCTAATGACTAATACCAGTTTGTTTGTTGTTTTGTTATTAATAAACTCACCTAATGCCACACTCCTGGTAAACTGATCTATGGCGCCTTTCGACATGGTATAGGAAAGGGTTGTTGCATACTAGAAAAATTTAGACAAAATTATTTTATTAGATATTAGATCCATTTAAATAATGGATTTAATATTTTTAAATAATATTAATTATTTAAATATTAATTACTGAAGAGCTTTTAATTTTTTGTCAAATATTAATTACTGTTATAATATGTTTCCTTTCTAAAAAACTTCAATAGTATTAAATTCATCCAACAAGAGCTTTAAATTAACTTTTAAACTACTTTCATGCCCATATGGGATTACGACCGAAAGTGTCGCTAACAGCGAGGGTTCCCAACGATTGTGCACCCCAGTGGCACAGCCGTATGTCTGCAGACTTACAACGCTAGAAACCGGGTTTCGATACCCGTGGTGGGCAGAGCACAGCTAGCCCATCGTGTAGCTTTGTGCATAAATTCAAACAAACAAACAAACCCAACGATTGAAACAGTGCATGTTGATTTTTAAAAATATTAACAGGATATTGGATTTGCTGTACTCATTATTGAGTTCGTTTCTAGTTGTGATCTGTGTAAGTGGCTTTATTTGATCAAAATTAATAAATTGATGT